ACAGCCGGCGCCGAGGCTTTAAAAATGGAAGCAATCTTCTCCCACTGCTCCTTCCTGCGCAGCAAAAATCGACAGAGAAGCCACTGTGCAGAAGTCAGAGATGCAGAAGTCGATGCAGTCGAAGTCCTCCCACGAGACAAGCTAGCTAAGGGAATTCGCCTTCTTACGTGAATGGAGGAGTCCCCTTCTCAGCCAACACATTAGGCGTAGTTACGCAGAGAAAGGCATAGCCTTTCTTCTCCGTCTTCTTCGGCTGTTCGCTCGGGACGGTCGTCGTGACCGTTTCGGTACAGGTCGCAACCCGGCAGTCTGCAGTGGCTCCAGAAGAAGGGTTAAACAGAGCCGTGAACATGACAGTATCGGAGTTATCGTACAGTCCCGATGCTTGATCAGGTGCAGGCGGGAACCCACTGAAGCTCTTGTAAGCATCTTTCCAGCGGTCAACAACAGCGCTGCAGTCCACCTTGCTTGAGCTTATGACCATCATGCCATACATAGCGCTGGAGCTCCCATCATCGTCGGAAGGCAGACTTGCCTTCAATCCTTGCTTGCCTGCCTGAGAAACAGAGTACCACAGGGACACAATACGCACGCTGCTGTGCGCAGTTCCACACGCGACGCCAGCAACCCAAGACAGCTTACCCGGAGTACATCTTGACAGAAAGCGTCCCATTTGTTGTCTGAATTTTCAGGTGAAGGCAGCTGCTTCCCAGCCTCGGTCGGCTGTACAAATTTGCTGAGTCCGCCCTTCTCCCGTAGACCGTTGATATCGCTAAGACATGCTCCCTCCGCGCCTGCAGACACGGAATCGCCGCGCACATACGTCCAAAAGGCCCATGCATTACGTACTAAACAACAAACAAGGATAAGAGCCCAACATTCCAAACTCCGTCTAAAGCCAGTACACAAACTCCCGACCCTCCCCTCCCAATCCCCACACTCCCCCAAAACAACACCTTCCCAACTCATTCCACAGGATCATCGATGCTTAGATGTGTGCCGAATTTGGCTAACGCCGGCAACAGGTATCAACTCACCAAGCTCAACGGAATACGTCGTCGTGGTGCTCCCTCCTGGCGACGCGCCGTCGCCCGGAGTTGCGTTGCCCAAGACAGCAATCGTTGCTCCGAGGAGAGGAAGTAGCTTGACAGGTGCCATTTCTACCCAGTGGGTGTTTAAAAACTGAGGCCTAAAAAGAACTGAAAACGTAAATCCTTTGCAAAACAAATAATGTAGCCGTCCACTAAACTGCCGCTCCACCGTTTCCCCCACTTACGCGGTGAAGCAGCGAGACATCGAGACGAACGAGGGCTCATCCAAAGCCAGCAACTCAGCAGCCCAAGTGGCCTATAGTATGCCAAAAATATAAGGTTTAGGAGTAAGAAATACGTAAATTAATAACTAAAGAAAATGGTAGGCAAATTTTACTACAAGTTGAGGGAATTCAAATAACGAAATGCAGTAACGATCCCTCCTTGGTGCATCGGAGTGGACTCTTCGAATCGTGGGGGTTATCATTGCACCGATGCCAACAATGGGCACTCGCTTTTACACCCTCTTGCCCCTACACTCGCTAAGAAATGAACAGAACTGCGAGAAAATTGAGCTTTTATGTGCGCTGGGTGGGATTTTGAGTCGATCATCCACTGCGACATAGCATTGCGAGGCGGGCGGCACGTGAGGGGCGGGCGCTAGGCGTTTAGAATAACTACAGGCGGATAACACAAGTTTAAAGCAATATGAACCTGATAAAGTTTGTGAATAAGAAACTAAACGACTGCTGTATTGGTATCACCCTGGTCTCTAGAGGTGTGGAGGGAGTTGACCAACGCTGTTCTGGTCCGTAGTTGGTTCGGCGCTCCAGCTGTTGGCGGGTTCCACTTGTCTTGCCCAAATGTAGGGGGTAACAATGGGGCATTTTTGTTTCCTGCATAGGGTTCCGTATATACGACTTAAGTTTAGTAAATATCAACGCTAATTACAGGAAGGGCGGGGGAAGACCATGCGACGCCCACCACGGTGGTCTCCCCACAACGGACTATTACGGCTACTGCCTCAGCTGCTGAGTTGAATTGAGCGTTTCGACCAATCAGATACACTTGATTTTCAACACAGTAAAGCTTCGTACTTGGTCCGCCAATGTAGTGGATAGCGATTGAACTGAATTGCAGACCCCCGTCGCAGTATCGCTGAGTGGCCTCAGAGAGTGAGAGAGTAGTGGCTGAGTGGCATAGCTGACGTTTGATTGTTGTGGGAGTCGGTGTCGGTGTCATTCACTGTTTTACAGCATCATTCACTGTTTTACAGCCGCATTCACTGCTACCGTCACTGTTTTACAGTTTGCAAGAAGAAGAGATGTGTACCGTCCGCACCAAAATGGAACGAATATACANCCGTCACTGTTTTACAGTTTGCAAGAAGAAGAGATGTGTACCGTCCGCACCAAAATGGAACGAATATACACAAGCATCGACATGTGTGCACAAATTCTGGTTGGCTATTGGGGTTGACCTGCACATACCTTGCAGTTCGCAGATCCCTTTGTAGACAGTCAAATTCTTGGGAGTGTTTTGTACTGCAGCCCAATTCTAGAAAACAGAATGGCCGAGTGTGTGATGCGGTTAGCAATGCGCTGAGGACAACTCGTCAGTCAACTGACGACTGGCGACGCCGGAGAAGGCACTGGCAGAATGATGAGAACCCAGCGTTGCTTATATTTTCTAGGAGGATCATGGGGTTGGTAATCTGATACACAACTCAGCTTTGCCCTGCTCCAGCATTGGCACAGTACACGTAGCAGGCCATTCTGTGACAAGCTGCGCAAGGCTGAGAAGCGGTTGTCATAGACTTCAAATATGGGATCGCCTGCTTTCTCTGCTGCATGAACTTGAAATCAGGCCCCGAATGGCCAACCGTGGTGGTGCAGTCGGCTTACCGTCATCGATGGGCGCGAACTCTGCGTATCGCCCCCAAAAGTTATTTTCATATGCTATCGGTCCATTTTGTTTTTTTCCCGATAACGGTCAGGAGTCTCAAAACTCTCTATCTTCCCCGAATAAGTGATATTCTCCTTCACCGGACGGACCTCTGCTAGGTTCACCAGTCCAGCTGCCACAATTGGAACACTCTTGGGGACTTCTCAACGTTGCACATAAGGGTAACGACTGGCTCCAGCGGCCCAAAGATGGGAATTCCCAAGCAATGGAAGCTTGCCTTTTATTGGCAAAGCTCATGGCATAACCAGCTGTGGGGGTCCAAGTAAGTGTTCAACAGTAAAATACCGTGATAGTCCATACAGCAAATGGAACTTTATTGTGCTTCCATGCTGGGGCCTTGCAGCACCAGCTGCGACAAGGTGCGATGCAGCTCATGACAGGCTACCTCTCACCATCAGCCCCAGCCCGTTGAGCCGC